AAATAAAATAAATAAATAAATAAACCGACAACACAAATACATTAAAAAAATGAACACTGTTAAAAGCGAGTTACAGCGTAGAGTAGCAGCACATGCCTGCAATCCCAGCATTCTAGGAGGCTGAGGCAGGAGGATCTTAAGTCTGAGCTCAGCCTAGGCAACTTGGAGAGAGCCTTTCTGAGATGTGGAAAAGCTAGGGATGTGGAGAAGCGGAGTGCTTGGACGTTTGACGACCAAGCAGGAAACCCCAGTACCAGAGCCTGGGAGGAGGGAAGCGGTTAGGGAAAGAGAACATTGACTACAATGTCTAAGATGTTCTATAGAGATTTCCAGTGAGACTGCAGCCAGCCCAGGGGGCTGGACGTGGCCCCGCCTGGGGTAGGGCTGCTTTCTGAGTCGGCAGGCCCACCTGCTGCCCACCTGCTGCCCACCCCGGGGCACCCTGGTTACCTTCTGAGTAGTGCGACAAAGTCAGAAGACTGACGCAGGAGGCTCCGGCTCCCGACCCGAAGATGGTCACCCTCTTGGGATCTCCCCCGAAGGCTGCTACATTCTCCTCGACCCACCGCAAGGCTTGGATCTGGTCCAGGAGGCCGTAGTTACCTTTGGCTGCCTGGTCCCCGGTACTTAAAAAGCCTGCAAAGGAAAAAAAAAAAAAAAACACAAAAGGACAGAGGGTTGAAGCTGTAGCTCAGGAGTGCAGAATTTGTCTAAGGAGCTCAATGACGCGGGTCCAACTCAGCAACGCAAATATAAATATGCGAAAATCGAACCCAGGATAATCTAGACCGCAGCTCCAAGAACATCACCACTGTTCACAAGGACATCTCCGGTCTTACCTGTTCTTTCTTTCTCTGTTGCATCGTAAATACAACACAACACTGCAGAGAAATGTTTCATAGCAGAGAAAATTGCATTACACATAAATGCTGGGGATTTTTTTCTGTTGGCATTATAGCAAAATATCTCCACTCTACCTACACAAGGGACTAAGAAGATGAAAGGGATCGGAAATATTTCTAACGGAATACTAGAAAGTATTTTACAAATTGCCTGGCATGTACAAAGACTGTGAGTTCAATTCAAAGTATCTCAAGTTAAAGAGACAGTACAGCAGTAATTGATATGACATGACAAGCAGTACGTAATTAGAAGACCAGAATGGCAGGCATTCCACGCGTGACCCTACTATTTCACGTTGCTATCTTCAGTGCAGTCGCTTAGTTCACAGGTGTCAGCATATAGAGTTAGTCAGGGTGAGAATCCTTCCAATTAACTGCTAGTTTCAAAAACCTGCTGAAGATTCTCAGGATCATTGCCTTGCCCATCTTGTGCATAGAAATGTATGGCTTTGCCCCTGCCATGAGTCCTAGCTTTTCTCCTTGCCATCTCTTTGTTATTTAATTCTTAAGGTCTTTCTTTCCTTTTATTTGTGTCATAATTTTCTATTTTTATTTCTTCTTTTGAGTTCGTAGACTAGGGCGACTATACACTATTTACACATGTGGGTCTGGTTTATTTCACTTATGTGTATATCTTCAAGTGGCATCCACTTATATATGAAGGCTTCGAGTTTTATCATTCTTTGTAGCTGAATAATACTCCATTGTATAAAAATACCACATCTTTTTCATCCATTCCTCAGGTGATGGGCATCTTCATTGGTTCCAAGATTTGGCTATCACAAATTGCGCTGCTATAAATATAG